CCGCTGTGACGAACGGGCCTATTACCAGTTGGCCTATGACGAATGTGCACATGACAAACGGGCCTACGCCCAGGTCACGTGACCCCCCCCCCCCCCCCAGTACCCTTCCCTCCTCCTCAAGAGCTGCGCTCAAATTTGGCGTTACAGGGAGTTGTAAACGGCTTTCACTTTTTTCGATTAAAAGGTTAAAAGGCGCGAACAAACAGGGCGAAAAAGAGACACGCACGACACGGACAGGCGCCTGTCCGTGTCGTACGTGTCTCTTTTTTCGTCCTGTTTGTTCGCGCCTTTTAACCTTTTAATCAATATGAACCAACTAGCCCCAACCAAAGTTTTATTGCTTCACTTTTTTCATTCATTATTTATGGATTCTTTTGGTGCAATATGTTTATCATCCTGGAAATAATTTTAATGAGCTATTGAAAGTCCTGCATTTTTTTTGTGTTCGTTGGTGCATGTTTTTTATAGCTTCGTTTTTCATTCATTATATATGAATCCTTTTGGTGCAATATGTTTATCATGCTAAATATAATTTTAATGAGCTATTAGAAGCCCTGCATTTGTTTTCTGTTCATTGATGCCTGTTTTTATAGCTTTGTTATTCTTTCGGAATTTAGACATTTAAAGCAGAACCATGGTATGAAAATATTTTTGTGCAGTTTATTGTGGGCTAATATGAAAGGATGCTTCATTTTTTATTCTCAAACCTGGTTCTGCTGTTTTGTGCAATATGACCCCTGACTATCTATTGTTTTATATCGTACTTTTTGTGAATGTGAATAAATTGCGTGTAGAAAATTACTTTCTGTGAAGGTACAGTCGCAACAGGATTTAATAGCTCCATGCAAGTGCACATTTCTTTCTGAAGGGAGCTTGACTGGCAGCTTTCGATAAAACTAGAGCTGTTAACATCTGCCATGATAGCAGCGCTTTCCTTCAATTGAGCGGCTTCTCCCGTACACTCCACGTGGACTCGCCATGACGTCAGCTCTAGTTCTATTGCAAGCCGTTAGTCAAGCACCCCTCAGACAAAAATATACGCTCACACGGAGCTGTTAACTCTAGCAGCGACTGTACAATTTATTGGCACTTTCCATACACATGCCACACAGACATGCTCATGCCATAACACTCGTTAAGTTTGCGAGATATGGCAGCTGAACCTGGCATATCTCACACGCTCGTGAAGCCGACCCTTCTGAAAAAACCCGTATAAAAATTCATACTGGTTGACCCGTATATCTCATACGGTGTTATGGGATACGGGTCTCCCGTATGCTACTGGGAACCCGAACCTGTACAGGTTGACCCATTCATATAGAGGAACCCGTTCAGATCCGGGGCCCGTACCTGTACGGGTTGACCCGTTTAGGTAAGTGAAACCGTGGCTGCACGGGTCGACCCGTTTAGATGCAGGAACCCGTACCTTACAGGTTGACCCATTTAGATATAGGAACCAATATTTATGCATGCTCATCTGTTCAGATAGAGAAACCTTATCTTTAAAGGTTTATCCGTTCTGACGCAGTAATAGGAATCAACATGGTGTCCGACGTTTGCAAAGGGATGGATGGATCTTTGCAGGTTTAACAATTCGCATGCATTTGTCATGCAAAGAATGAGCATGAGCCAGGTCATTTCAGGTTATATGTGTATTTAGTGAACGCAAATTGGCTTCTGCAGAACACCAACAAGAAGCTTAACCTCTAAGCAAGCTTAGAAGTCAAACTTCTAGTTAATATCCTGCAGTAGGATATTAACAAATTTGCATACTGCAGTAGATTCACCCGAGCTGTCCTCTTCCCTGGAGAGGCCTCTCGAGGATGCCTCCATAGGTACTCGTTGAAGGCAACAGCAGGGGAAAAGAATACAACAATAGTTCATGTATATTTAGTTTGCTAAAAAATTTAATATTTTACTTCCTGCAATAATAAGCAAACAATTTCCACTACAATTTATGCTTTGTTAATATCTTGTGATACCATGTAGACCCCAAGAGCAACTTCTTACGATTACGCAGTCTGCTTAAAACAGCAGGCATGCGTGATTCGGCCCGAAAGTTTTGAACCAGTTCAGACCGAGTTCAGAGGAGTGCAGGGGGGGACAAAAAGGAACGGAAAGACACAGAGCTCCGAAGCTTCGTGTCTGTCTGTCTCTTTTTTTCCCCACGTTCCCGGGTTACCACGTCTATCCTTAACCAGCTCGCCTGCCTGTTAACTAAAATAAAAGTATGTTCTATAAATCTAAATATGTATTTTCCATTATGAACATGGGCCTCTGATTGCCTACAACCTCTAACTTATTTCATGCCGGACAATGTCACCATGGGAACAAGTGAAAGGAACACTGAACACACAATTCTCGACCGGCAGTTTTAGTGCGGAAGAAAGATTTTGACCTGCAATTGTTGTTCTGGGCATGTATATAAATTGACAAGAATTTTTGATATCAAGAACCATTTAACTAATTTAATATCCGTGTTACAACCCTTCAATGGTCTATTTATACGAGATAGTTCCCTGGTAAGAAAACTGAGCACTAGAAAGGAGGAATACCCACGATGAGAAGGCGGTTCAGAAAAAATGGGCAGTACCCAAAGGACAGAGCCAAACATAGTTCGGTTGTAGCAGTTCTAGTGAACAAACAAACTCACTTTCACAACTTTGCTAGTGCCAGCTTTTTGTTCAAAAGAAAAAATAGGTGCCTCAGCAGAAGGTCCTGCGAGCAGGCCACTGATATCATGGACCTCTCCCAAAACTTGCAGGGGTTAGCAGATATTTGCAATGCGGAGCATGTTACTGTAAAACCTCCTCAGTGTGAATACATCAGAAAGCACCAAGCGACCTAGATGACCGTGACAAGGTCACTTTACTTCTTCTTCATATATTAAAAACAAAGAGGAAGATAGGGCTTCTTCATTTCGGTTTTGCGCTCGGAGCTTCACGTTCCTAAAGCTCGAATAGTCGAACTGTGACCCTTCAACAGCCTATAACACAAAGTTTGAAAGCCTTGGAATATTTTATGACATTATATTTGTCGTAGCAGGTTGCAACTTCAGAAGCCATAAGGTTTGAGTGACTCACCAAGTATGAGACATCTGTGAGAAGTGGGCACTTACTGTTGTAGATTATCATTTGCGTAGGTCAGGGATTGAAAGGAATCGCGATCGTTGAGGCGTTTGCTATGCGTCGCTGCAAACATAACATACGCACCACCTTCGTGAGCGTATCTCGAAAGGGGGTTGATTTTTTACGCCCGGAACGTTTGGCCGCCGTTTCCTCTGCGTGACGTTACCAGTCAGCATTGGAGATAGCGAGATTTAGCAGGCCGTTTTTCTTCTCCGTATCGGTATCCCCAAAGAAGGCGCAGCAACTGAGGATGCACGCCTTCAGTCTTTTCTGCATAGTTCAGGGTCTCGGGGCGGATGACGCAGAGCTAAACTGGCGCTTAGCGGGTTGCGGAAACTCCCTATTCTCCTAACTCTATTCTTCCGTACTACCTTTACCTTCCCGGCCCTTTTATTCTCCCTTCTTTCTTGCCCTAGTCCAGTTTCCCTTACAGAAATACGTTTCGAAGTCTAAGTAAATAAATATTGTTGCAGTTCAGGGTTGCCTTCCGGCGCTTTGGCCTTTTAGCAACTTCATTATCTGGCGTTCAGCATTATGATGTTTGCTATTTGATTATGCGATGTATTGAACTCAACAAATCACCTCTATTCCCCAAGAAAAAAAAGCCATAATTTTCAGGACAAACTTTAATATTCTGAGTTGATAAACATCTGCCGGTGAGGAAAATACTAAATTGGTTACAACCGAAAAACGCCGGTGGTTGGAAATATTCTGCCTGCGTAAAACCAAAACACTCCAGTCGGTGACTGTTCCCGCCCTAGCGACGGCTAGTTTCTTCGAAACGCCTCTTCTGTAGAAGTTTGTGAAACATTTTATCTCGTCGATTCTCCATCCTTCCAGTGCCTATTCAGAGGTCGGTGTGGTTCTTGGAAGACAACGTCAACAACATTAGAGTCGTCCGGAACCATTTACTTTAGAAACGCGCCTCTTCGCTTGGGGAACTGAGATGCGTTGATTGTTATTTGTTTCTTTCGCCTACTACAGACCGTTCAAGAACTCACCTTCTGGGCGCCACCAACTTCGTCTACTGGGCTTTGAAGCGCGTTGGAGCGTGCACAATAGCTCTCTAGGCCGAAAGATTGTACACTGCGTATGCGTTCACAGCTCAATGACTTAGGCATTTTTCGTCGGGATATATGCTCCCACGCAAAGAGCGCATGAGATCTGTGAATAGAATTAGAAATTTGAAATGTTCTTGTACAATCGCACTTCTCTTCCTTGGTTATCAACGCTTTTTAGCGTCATCACGAGGCATCCAATCATAATAAACTGGTGTTTAAAAAAATAAGCACCGAAAAACATGCAGCGATTTTCGCTCAAAAATAAACACCGGAAAAGCGTACCCTAATCATTACCCATGTCACCTTTTTGGGCAATACGTAGATTTCCAGAAGAACAGCGAGTTATCCCCCTCCCCTAGGAATACCCTGAGTACAGAGCAGGCGACCCGTTTTTCCCCGCGTCAGATTGCGGTGACCACGAACCGTACGGAGCTCACAGAACGTCCGTGAAAAATGTAAAGAAGGCAAAGAACGATCTACTCTGTGCGCGTTTCATCCCCGACTTCCACGACCCCAAGGTGGAAGGACGTCTGAGTGAAAGATAACGATAAAATAAAACTTTGCGTCAGAAAAAAAAAAGTACAAACAATTACAACGCATTGACGGACCACGAGGTTGTGGAACACCTCGCGGCCCGCTGGCCATAGGACGGTTGTCTTCGACCCATAGCTCCAAGGTGAATTTGCCACGTGCGAAAACACGGAGACCTATCCACCGAGAACCAGGAAAGCGAGACACGCACACTGACGCCTCAGCGTGCACAATGAAACAGGATACGGGCGCGGAATACAGCCGCAGAAGAACACCTTACGGCGAGCCTCGCACGGTCGCGGCTTGAGGACCACCTTCACTCCTCTCGCTAACAAAACCATCCGGCCTGGAACACAATGGCACGATCTCACCAGGAACCTCAACGTGCGAAGCTTCCACACACTGTCGCTTACGAGTGTTCTCAACCAGGGACTTCTTTAGCTTTCGCTCGCCGTAGGAAGCCTGCTTTCGACCCATGACGCCAGAGGCGAACGCAACACTTCCGAATGGCAAAAATTGGAACGCACCAAACGCCAAGCGCCGCAGCGTTGAACTGAACCGCGTTCGCTGTCGCTCGAATAAAAAAAAATCGCGTATGAATACAAAAAAAAAATTGTGTGCACCGAACTCCACAATCTACTAGGGAGCCTACATACTCGCCGACTCCGTCTGTAGGGTGGTGTCATCCTTTGACACACCACTCGCCGCCACCCGCCGCCCACCAGTGTTGCCAGCATCGGTTGCCATGGCCACCAGAAGGCGCCACGCCATCTTGGTCCCCAGACCGCCCGCTGCCCGCTCGGCGCTCGTCCAGCCAGGCTGGCTAGGCCTATCTTCGATAGTCGCAACGGCGTCGCACCGTGTTCATTCTCCGGCTGGTGCTGTTGTGTTTTGCGGAGTCGTTCGCAGCGAAGAAGTGTGGTAGCAAGAGAGGCGTGAGAAGCAGAAATGCCTGACTGTTCTGTTCCGCAGTGCACGAACTACTGCAGACGGGGCACACGTATGTTCCGTTTCCCGAGTAGTCCTACTCGAAAGAAACGTTGACTCGCTCAAGTCAAACGAGACCGCTGGGAACCCACTGCAGCTGCTCGTGTTTGCGCCGTGAGTACAAGTTTTGTTGCACCTTGATCGCAAGTGTAAGTGGGATGTTTAGCGTCACTCTGCAAAAAGCGAGCGTCTCCGGTTGCGCGTCGGGAGCACATAAACAGCGTCGCGAGTTCCGAATTCGAGCCTTAGCGGCATTGCAATATCACAGGTGGAGACGGAGCCTGCCTTCTCCGTATCAGGGTTTGCTCGCCGCGCGTCGATCTCAGGACGCGCGCGTTGCACACGCGTTTTGAATGCACCGATGAGAGTACCGGGACATTTCATCGAACGCCGATTCATCGCACGCGGTTTTATCGAATAACTTGACGCTGTTTCATCGAATTTCCCTTTACTGAATTTTGGAGTAATACAATACTTTTTACGTAATTTACTCTCGTCTCTGAAATAGTTTTGGCGCCGGTCAAAATTCACCGGGAATAGAATTACTACCCGCTCAATTTTTTGTCCACCTAAACGTTTACTACTGAATCATAGAAGGTAGCTATCATATCAAAACTTGAGTGGATACGCGACTTATGCTTTTCTGGCGAGGTAGGCGGAGTTTCTCGGCCACACACTTTTCCCACTTCATATGTCTATTTATTGCCTTTCACCGCAGTGAAAGTGCCTTTCACTGCGTGAAACGCACTTTCTTAAGAGGGAAACAGCTATTCTCTGCAGCACCTTTTTTAGTTCGTATTTGTCGATTTACCTGTGTTTTCATTTTATCCAAGAAGAATTGCTCTCTTTTTAAGAACATATATGTTCTTAAAAACGACGAGTCTCCCCTCTTCGTTAATTTATTGTAACCGACAGAATTGTGGACTTGTCCGATCTTTGACACGTCTTTATTTCCCCCATATCATGGGACACGGAGACAAGCTGCTTCAAGGACGGCTTCGTCTTGAAGCAGAATCCGTCACTGCACCTGATGATAACAGCTTTAAAAATGTTCGTTAGTGCTCCCGTTTTTTATTGGCCTCATTAACGGAGGCCATCATTTATTAAAAAAAAATAGAAGGTGGCAAAAAAGATTTCTTCTTTTTATATATGTATAAGTTTATAAATTATAATAAATATTAAATCACTGCTATCCTCCCGGCGCTAAAAGAAAAAAAAATATTTCCTAGATGTAGAATTCCTACTGCTCAAGCAGGTGGCGTTCGATGAAATGGCGTTCGATAAAACTGCGCTTGATAAAACTGCTTCGATAAAACGGTGTTTTATGAAATGGCGTTCAAAGAAATATCCGGACCCACACCGATGAGTACTATCAAGTTTGTTCGGGAAATAAAAATACAAGCTTCGTTTACCAAGCTGCTGCAAACAACGGTTTGGCTCAGAATTTATATTAAAAAACAAGGGTTTTGAAAACATTTTGATGAGGACCTAGTTTTTGCTTACTCGATTTTTCTCGACTTGTTCAGCTTCCAAAAATATTTCTTGAACACATTTTTCGCAAGCCTCTACACCACGTAGCGGTTCGTTCACAGGATTAAATTTTTGGGATTGATTTCCAAATCGAAAAATTAAAACATCGCTAAAATTAGGTAGTTTTCAGTAATTTGATTAAGTCCCGTATGCAGGTGTGTATTGGATTTATTGATCCACTAATGCCTCTTCTGTTTTTTCGTTTGGCTAACGCTTGACTAGCGAAGCCACAGCAGACCTCACATAACAACTGTGAGTGTGTTAAAAAAATTTAGTTGGTGATGGAGTTCACTCCTAATTCTGTTTATAGTGTTAGTCAACTAAACGAGCAGGCACAGTGCTCTCTTTGGAGTATTTGCTAACTAATTTAAAATTAACTTTTCTTTTTCGGCTCATTTTGAGGACAGCAGTTTTGAACAAAACCGGCAGGACGGGTTGAAAAAACTGAGGCCAGATGCTGTTCCAACACTTTTTCCTTATCGTGGTAAGTTTTAATATTGTGTAAGCCTGTTCATAGGTATATTTGAGTGGACTTCTGAACTTCCAAGGGTTTATTTTTGTGTAATATTTTAAAACTATTCTTTCCCAGCATTTTCTTGTTACACAATGCGTGCTTAATGTAACATTCTCTCTGAACTAGTCTAATATTCTCGTCTTTTGTAGACTTCGTAAAACGAAATATAGACAGACTAGTTCTCACAGTACCAAGGTCGTTAATTGTTAAACAGTTTGAACAACTAGACGTGATGCGCAAACAGTTTGGGTCCGCAACCTCTAAAGCGTTTGAATGCCGCCTAGCAACGCTATTATTTATTTCATAGCCTTCTATCTAGTACCTAAGGACTGATAAAGAAAACCTTTATATTTTTAATATTGTGTTTTTTTCAGTCTCTTAAAAATGCATATGCATTAAAAACTAATGTATATATATTTATTGACTTTTTACAGCCATCCCAAAACACAGAAAGGCCCCCAAAAAGCGTGCTCAGGGATCAACATCCATTCCATCACCACCAACTCTACATGGCAGCACAAGCGACGCAAACCGTGCTGCTTCACCTATGATGCTTGTACAGTGATGGCTACCCCACTGCCAGAAGCTCTCGACGTCGCTGCCACAGACACTGCTCAGTCCAAGCGTGCGTGTGCAGCAACAGCCGTTCCATTGCTGTTAACCTTTGACGACAGTGTAACCACCAAGGACAATGCTCCTCGATCAAAGCGTATTTGTGCAGCGGCAGACATTCCACTGCAACTTGCTCTCGCCGACACTACAAGCAACATAAACAACGCTGCTCAGTTAACGTATGCTTGTGCAGTAACAGCCATTTCTATGCCACTAGCTCTCGACATCTCTGCAAGCAGCACAGACAACGCCCCAGCCAAGCGTGCCTGTGCAGTGACGATTGTTTCAATGCCATCAGCCCCCGACGAGAGCGCAACCACTACGAACAGTGGGTCCGATACTTGCTGCTCATCGGCAGCCTTTTTACGGCAACCAGTTCTCAACAACAGTGCAAGCGACATGGACAATGCTGCTCAGTCCGAGTATGCTTGTGCAGTGACAGCCGTCTGTCAGCCTTTAGCTTTTGATATCTCTGCAAGCAACACAGAAAATGCTTTATTCATGCAGGATTGTACAGCGACAGCCGTCTCACTGCCCTTAGCCCCAAACGACAGTGCAAGTACCACAGACAATGCTCCTCGGTCAAAGCATACTTGCACAGTGACAACCGTCCCACGGCAACAACCACCTCTCGACAATGGAGAATGTGACCTGGACCACCATGCTCGATCTCCTCTTTCTTTTTATATATGTCCTGGGCTCAGACCTGGGCTCTGGGGTAACCCAGAGCCCAGGTCTGAGCTTGTTTGTTCTACTGCATTGGAACAACCCGGTGGTTCTCCAGGTCCAATTGTTCAGGAGCTGAAGGAAAAACTGCAGCCTGAAGTCGGGTCTTCAGAAGGACTAACAAGCTCGTCCGCTGTTTTCACGTTTGGAAGTAGTACCACCCAAAGTATGTTACTGATGCATCGCCAAAACTCCCAGCTTCGAAAGAAAAACTCCGATCTGGCCCGGAAGTACCGAAACTTGCAAAGGCTCCATGATGAAGCCAAATCAAGACTGCGAAGTCTCACAAAAAAACTGACATCAGCTCAGAAAGAAATAAGTGCTTTGAAAAGTTCAAGATTTCTGAACACAGACTAAACAAAGGCTTTGACTGTGAAATCAATGAAGGGACATAAGTGGTCAGAGAAGACTATTCAAGTTGCCCTTCAAATCAAGCACGCATGCGGTACATCAGGGTATGAACTGCTGAGGTCCCTGTCATATCCGCTACCCTCGAACAGAACGTTGATTCGGAGACTCCAACACATTAAGTTTCTGCCTGGGGCTCTTGACGAAGTTTTTGAAGTGCTAAAGCGGAAAGTGCAGACTATGGAAGACATAGAGAAAGACTGTGTTCTCTTTATGAATGAGATGGAGATTAGTCAGGGATTTGACCACGACAGTTCACTGGATCGTATTTTTGGAAGCACCACACTCCCAGAATCCCGTGTGAATGTCGCGAACCATGCCCTTGTGTTTATGGTTGGGGGAATAAACACGGTGGAAGCAAGTGATTGCATACCACTTCACTGGACGATCAACTGACGAAAGTGCTTTAAAGGAGCTTGTCTTTCATCTCATTGAACTATGTTTCAACATCTCTCTCAAGGTGATCATAGTTACAAGTGACATGGGATCAGCAAACCGTGCTGTGTGGCGTCTGCTCAACTTTTCAAATCACAGGCACTCTGAGACCGTGTGTTCTGTCCCACACCCACACCTCGACGGGAGACAGCTCTATTTCATGGTTGATCCAGCGCATGTTTTAAAAAATATTCGTGCCCAACCTGCTTCGTTCAGAGACCTTTACTTTAGGAGAAGAGACTCCGAGAGAGCACAACCTCCCAGGAGGGACCGTGGACATCCACCA